CTCGGATGGCATAGTGGAACTTTCTACAAGAAATTTTTGAGCCAAGAGGTCCCAGGTTCGAACCTCACCGGTGGTAACTTGTTTTGGATATGTTTTCTGGTGTTTTCAGGGGCGGGAAATTCAAAAATCGAGGTTTAAAAGCTCATAAAATAATTTTTTGGGCATTTTTGGACCCCTTTGTCTCCGAAAATGTCATTTTTATGCTCAAAAACACTCCAAAACCGCCAAAACCCATTTTTCCTTCCAGAAAGCCGATTTTCCAAAAATTGCTCGGATGGCCTAGTGGGATTTTCGGTCGAAAACTTGGAGCCAAGGGGTCCCAAGTTCAAATCCCACCGGTGGCAATTCTTTTTTGAAGTTGGTTTTAGAGGTTTTCAAGAGCGGGAAATTCGAAAATCGAGGTTTAAAAGCTCAGAAAATGATATTTTAGGCATTTTTGGACTTTTTTCGTCTTCAAAAATGGCTTTTTTTTGCCCAAAAAACACCTCAAAACCCCTAAAAACCCATTTCTCCGTCCAAAAAGTAGATTTTTCAAAACTTTCTCTGATGGCTTAGTGGGATTTTCGGCTTGGAATTTTGGAGCCAAGGGGTCCCGGGTTCGAACCCCACTGGTAGCTAATTGTTTTTGAAAATGTTTTTTGAGATTTTCAGGGCAGGAAGTTCGAAAATCGAGGTTTAAAAGCTCAGAAAATGAGTTTTTGGGCATTATTAGGACCTTTATTAGGCTCGAAAACGGTTTCAGGACTCCTTAAACCCCGTTTCTTGAGCTTTTTTTCTCCAAAAACTCGAAAATTGCCAATTCAGGACGTCATTGACAAGATCACCATTCCAATAGAGGAGACGGATCAGTGGTTTGAGAAGGCCAACTCGTCGTGGGAGGAGCTAGATGAGAATCTGCGAAAATTGCATGCAGAAGCCGTTGGGTTGGTGCAGCATCGCAAGGCAATGGCTCTGAATGGAGAAATGTTGGCTAAGGTAGGTGGCCTAGAAAAATCAAATTGCAAAAGTTAGGCCACGCTGTTAAAATGGTCTAGAAAACACGCCAGGGGCGTGACAGGGTATTTTAGGTCATTTTACTATGGTGGGCTAGAGTATTCATGCTGAGAAAGTTAGGCCACCATGCTAAAATGGCCTAGAAAACGTGTCAGATGAATATCATGTCATTTCTAGGCCATTTACCATAGTGACCTAGAAAAACCAACTTGCAAAAGTTATGCCACCATGCTTAAACGACCTAAACATGGGGTCTAATATTTACCTAGTCGATTTTCTAGACCAGTTTACATTGGTGGCCTAGAAAAATCCATGTTGGCAAAGTTAGGCCACCATGTTAAAATGGTCCTAAATTGGTCAATTTCCAGTCCCTCTCTTCCCTCGCCGCTTCTGAAGACTCCACAACCCTCTCCTTGGCTCTCACCTCCCTCACAGACACCTATGAGCAATCGGCGAGCATCTGGAGCCGCCAAGCCGAAGAGCACAATGCTAAGTTCGCAGAAGCCGTCGAGGAGTACCTGGGCCTTCTGGAGTCAATTCGTGACGTCGTCGCGGAGCGGATTCATGTCTGGCAGCAGTGGAAGAAAGCGCAGAAGACGTTGGAGGAGTTGAGGTGCGGGGTTTTGGATTTTTGCACTATTTTGAGCCCTTTTTAGCCCCAAAAATCAACTTTTTGGATTTTTGGATTCTGAAAGTCGATCAAATCTCCATTTTGAGTCATTTCCCCCGGATTTTTGGCTCAAAAATGGATTTTCGAGCTTTAAAAAGCCAATTTCCAGATCCAAACTCAGCACGGTTGACGATTTGAAAGTCAAAGAGCTCAACAGGGAAATCCAGGAGACTAACGAAGCCAAGGAACGTCTTCAGAAGGAATTCGACGAGATGAGCAAGGCGATCAAAGTGGAAATTGAGAGATTTGAAGAGGAACGACAGGAGGATATGAAGCACATTTTGGTGGATTTCATTCAGAATATGATTCAGTCGCATATCCAGGTGAGTTTGAGGTCATTTTTTGATACAAAAATGGCGAAAAATAGTCAAAAAACGGTCAAAAATGATACTAAAATTGTTCGAAAGTGACTAAACATGGTCCAAAATCGTCCAAAATTGATCAAAAATTCGCCAAAAAAATTCGTCCGAAAATTATAGAAAAAATTCTCAGAAATAATCAAAAATTGTTCAAAAATCGTCCGAAAATGGTCCAAAAATGATCCGGAAATGGTCTAAAATTATCAAAAAATGATAAAAATTATTCAAAAATAATTTAAAATGGAACAGAAATAATGAAAAATTATTTTAAAAAAATGGACTAAAAATGATCAAAAATGATCAAAAAATGTTCAAAAATGGACCAAAAATGATTAAAATGGTCCAAAAATAGTTTTTAAAAAAGTCCAAAAATGGTTTTTAAAAAACATCAGAAATTGTCCAAAAATCATCAAAAAATGGCTGAAAAATGGTAAAAAATGATTGAAAATTGTCCAAAAAGTGTCCAAAATGATCCAGAAATGACGAACAATGATCAAAAATGGTCCAGAAATGGTCTAAAATAGTCCAAAAATGTCCAAAAATGAGAAAAAATTGTCCAGAAATCATCAAAAATGGTCGAAATCGTTTGAAAATTGTCTAAAAATGGACCATAATGATCCGAAAATGACGAAAAATGGTCCAAAAAACGTCAAAAATTTGTCTAAAACGGATTAAAAATGATCAAAAACCGTCCGAAAATATTAAAAATGGCTCAAAAGTGATCAAAAAATGACCAGAAATGATCAAAAATGATTCAAAATGGTTCGAAATTATCTAAAAATGGTCCAGAAATGATCGAACATGGTCCAAAAAGGTCCAGAAATGATTTAAAAAAATGTGATCAGAAATGATCCGAAAATAGACCAAAAATGGTCACAATCGTTCCAAATGGTCCAAAATGGTCCAAAGTTGATCAGAAATGATCAAAAATGGTCAAAAAATGATTAAAAGTGGTCCGAATTGGACCAGAAATGGTCAACCAGAAATGGTCAAAAATGGTTCAAAAATGGTCCAGAAATAATAAAAAATGGTCTAAAATAGTCCAAAAATCTCCGAAAATGAGAGAAAATTGTCCAGAAATCATCAAAAATGGTCGAAATCGATTGAAAATTGTCTAAATATGGTCCAAAAAACGTCAAAAAATTGTCCAGAAATTGTCTGAAAAGGACTAAAAATGATCAAAAATGGTCCGAAAATGAACCGAAAATGGTCCAGAAATAGACCAAAAATGGTCCGAAAATGATCAAAAATCGTTCAAAAGTGATTAAACATGGTCCAAAAGGATCCAGAATTGATTAAAAAATGAGAAATAATCGTCCGAAAATGATAAAAAATGATAAAAAATTGTTCAAAAATCATCAAAAATGGCCTAAAAATGGTCGAAAATGATCAAAAATCGTTCAAAAGTGATTAAACATGGTCCAAAAGGATCCAGAATTGATTAAAAAATGAGAAAAAATCGTCCGAAAATGATAAAAAATGATCAAAAATTGTTCAAAAATCATCAAAAATGGCCTAAAAATGGTCGAAAATGATCAAAAATCGTCCAAAAAACGTCAAAAAATTGTCAAAAATTGTCCAGAAATTGTCTAAAAATGATTAAAAATGATCAAAAATTGTCCAAAATTGATCAGAAATGGTCAAAAATCGTCCGCAAATCATCAAAAATGGTCCAAAAATAGTCTAAAATGGTGCAGAAATGGTCAAAAATGGTCTAGAAAGCCATTTACCATAGTGGCCTAGAAAACTCAATTTGCAAAAATTAGGCCACCATGCTTAAAATGGCCTAAAATCCTGAATTTCGCCCTCAAAATTGTCATTTTCAGATCGCAGAACTTTGGGACCAATTTGCTCCGTACGCCCAGAAGATCATCATCTAATCATTGCTCATTTTCTGGAATTGGTCATTGCTCATCTTGATTGTTTTTGTAAAAAATCGAGTTTCGCTCGTTTTTTGTTGTACAAAATGTGAAATTACATAGATTTTCCTAGATTTTCCCTAGCATTTTTCTACAGTAATCTCCTTTGCTTTTTTTGTAAATTTATAGATTTTCCTAGCTACAGTGATCCCTTTCCCCTTATTCTGGACGTTCCATTGCTCATTTTTTGTAAAAATTGTAAATTTGGATTTGTAGGGTCTTTTGGGATTTCCCTTTTTTAATGCAAATTTCTAGATTTTCCTAGCATTTTCTACAGTAATCTTTTATGTAAATTTCTAGATTTGTCTACAGTACCCTTCTTCTACAGTAATCACATTTCCCCTATTCCAAGACATTTTCCCCCCATATCTAGTTGCCATATTTTTGTAAATGTTGCCATTATTGCCTCTTTCCCAAAATGTCCCAAATAAATTTCATGTCCCATCAATTCTGTTTTTTTTCAGATTTTTCAGATTTTGAAATTCAAATTTGGCGCCAAAAAAAAACCAAAAAAAAAGAAGAAATTCGAGAAAAATCGACCAATGAGTCATCAAAAAACGCATCACACATTTTTCATAGAATTTTGGGAATTTCTCGAACAAATTTCTTTTTTGATGATTTTCCGGGTTACTGTAGATATGGAGGGTTACTGTAGGGCAAGTACAGTAACCCGCTTTTATGACTCCGCCCACTTTTTTAGTTCCAGAAAATTATTTTTTCCTCTTTATTTTTCTGCACTTTTACACGCTATAGTAAGACTACGGTAGATTACGGTAGCTCCAATTTTCTATAGACTACTGTAGATTACGGTAGCTACAGTTCAAAGGATTACGGTACCTACAATACCCGCTAGCTTGTGTGAATTGCATCATCCAAAAGTTAGCTTATTATTCAGCATTTTCAAGCTACAGTAGACTGCTAGATTACGGTAGCTACAATTTTTTATAGACTACTGTAGACTACGGTAGCTGGCTACAGTACCCTTAGTTCGTGGGAATTGCTTCACCCGAAAATTACCTTTTTTAATGCATTCATTCTTACGAGGCAATAAGACTACTGAAAATTACGGTAGCTCCAATTTTTCATGGACTACTGTACTACTGTAGATTGGGTAACGGTAACTACAGTACCTCAATTTCTGTGAATTGCATCATCCGAATTTTTCACCCGTTTTCACTACTGTAGATAACGGTAGGTTACGGTAGCTCCAATTTTGCATAGACTACTGTAGTCTAGGGTAGCTAGCTAACGTACCCTCAATTTCCGTGAATTTCATCATAACCCATAGTTATTGCGCGTGTCTGTCTCATCACGAACACCTCCTTCCTGTACGCTTTTCACTGCGTCTCTCGCTTCTCCGTTCTCTCTATATCTCTTTCTCTAAATCTCTTTATCTCATCATGTCAAACTGCCATTCATACAATGATGTTATTAGAAAAGGGCTCTCTCTTCCTGTCTCTTCTTTTCACTTGCCGTTCGGTTACATACTTGGCGCGCGCCCCTGTGATAAAGTTCGCTCTATTGATAATCATCTTTTCAAGAGTATTAGGCTTGGGGTACTGTAGCTAGCTACTGAGCGATGCTTGAGTCATTACACAACTTTTCAGGCCCTGAAAATCAATTTCCGACTGGAAATTCGAAAATTAAAGTTTTAGAGCTCGGAAATTGATTTTTTGGGCATTTTTGGACCGTTTTTGTCTCCAAAATGTCATTTTTATGTTCAAAAACAATTCTGGGACCTCCAAAAACCCATATTTCTGTCAAAAAAACTAGATTTATTGGGTTATGCTCGGATGACCTAGTGGGATTTTCGGCCGAAATTTTGGAGGGGTCTTGGGTTCCAACCCCACCGGTGGCGACTGGTTTTTGAAAATGTTTTTAGGGGATTTTATAATCGAGGTTAGAAAGCTCTCTCTCTCTCTCTCTCTCTCTCTCTCTCTCTATCTCTCTCTCTCAATTCTATTTTTTTGGAGAAATCTATTCGCACAGTTATATTTGCTGCAATAAAATGTCACCTTATACGTGCTCTTTGAGCTCAATTATCTCGGTTCTAATAAGAGATATCAAAAATGTTTCAACTGATAAATTATTTATCATAACATCACCTATAATTTATCAGTTGACAAAATTTTGATATCGTTTATAGGAGCCGAGATAATTGAGCTTAAAGTGACCGTGTAGGATGGGCTTCTATTAGAGCTATGATACTTTCTATTAGTGTGATACTCATAAATATCGACCTTTCTTTTTCTCTCTCTCTCTCTCTCTCTCTCTCTCTCTCTCTCTCTCTCTCTTTCATTGTATAACTAGCCTTTACCTATCGAAAACCCATTTCGGTGTACTTTCATTTCTTCCTCTGCTTTCAAAATATGTACATTTCTCACATTTCTCACACCCCCCTCGACCACCTAATTATGATGACGTGCATTTGAGCTCATTTATCTCGGTTCCTATGAGAGATATCAGAAATCTGTCAACTGAAAAAGTGTTTGTCATAATATCATCAATATTTTATCAGTTGACAAATTTTTGATATTTTTTACACGAACCGAGATGATTGAGGTGGAAGTTGTAGGAGTTGAGAGCATACATGTACTTGAGTCTAATTATCTCGGTTCCTATAAAAGCTATCAAAAATCTGTCAACTGACAAAACATTCACCATAATATCACTAAAATTTTATCAGTCGACAGATTTTTGATATCTCTCATAGGAACCGAGATAATCGACTTTGAACTTGTGCGATCTGATTTTTCTTCTTTTCAATTTAGTTTTCCATTTCTAATCCGATTTTGTTTTGGAACTCCGTATCGTAATAGGGAGTAGGTACTGTAATTTTGACTAACATAAGTACCGTAATGGAGACTAGATACTGTGATAATTTCTTTGTCCACTATTACTTGTCCTCTGTGAATTGTCGTCAGCTCCTCATAATCCATTTTTCTTTCAAATTTTCAAATTTTCAGGTAACTTTATGGTCTTCACCCCGCCGGTCAAGAAAGTCAAAATGAGTGAGAAGAGCACAAAGCACAAAGAAGAAGAGGAGAGCAGCGTTCCGAAGAATGGAGAAGACGTCGTAGAGCAAGGAGAGCGAGGAGGTGAGTTGGAACATACCGTCAAGCCTGTAAAAGGGCTCCAAAACTGTTAACTTTGAGCTCAATTATCTCGGTTCCTTTAAGAGATATCAAAAAGTAGTTAACTGATAAAATATTGGTGATATTATGATAAACAATTTATCAGTTGACAGATTTTGGAAATCTCTCGTGGGAACTAAGATAAGATCACCGGTCTCTATGTAAGTACTTAAAAATGGTTTTTAAAAAGTTCATCTTGATTTCCAGGGAACAGATGAGGACCTGGAGCGGATTCTCCGTGAGACTGTAAGTGACTTCTGCTCTAATCGAAGTGCTCAACTTTGATCTGAATTATCTCCTTTCCTATAAAAGATGTCAAAAATTCGTCAACTAATAAATTATTTATCACATTATCACCAATATTTCATCAGTTGACAAATTTTTGATATCTCTTAAGGAGACCGAAATAATGGAGCTCAAAGTGAACGTATAGGTTTAAGAGCTAACACTGTAACCTGGTTGTAAGACTTCTAAGAAACTCTAATTTTTTCAGGCGCCATTCCAAACGACGTCATCAGATTCAGAATTCTCTACACCTCCCATTCGTCAGGCGCCCTCTCGAGCCGAAACGACGTCGTCGGAGTCATCGGATTCTGATTCAGAATCCTCGTCACCACAGCTCCAGGAAGAGAAACCAGAAGGAGGTGGATACTTGAAGAAAGCTCCAGAGCTCAAGAAGGATCTTCATCTTGAAAAGAAGCCAGTCGAAGAAGGAAAGGGGCTCCAGAGCTTTGAGAAGGTTCTTGAGCTCGAGAAGAATCGTCAGCTCGAGAAGTTCGAGAATTCGGGTGGAGGATGGGAGAGGTCGGACAGTTTCGAAGCTGTCTACGGAGATGGGGAAGAGTATCAGGTTGACACCGTAAGTGCGCTCCACTGCAAACATCGACAAGTTTTTTTTTTAACAGAGAGGAGAAGTCAGTGAAGGATCCATCTACGTTCCGACACCGAAAGCATCTCCAGCCGATGGCAATTACTGCCTTTTTGGCGGAGAATATGTAAGTCGACATGTCAGTCTGTTCATCCTGATGACCTTTTAGATGAGCAAAGCTGAACAAATGCTCCTTGAGAAAGCTATGGAGGAATCTTTAAAGGAGCAGAAGGATAAGGAGGCCGAGGCGGTGCCAGTCAAAGATAGGTTGAGATTCCAGCAGCCAGCCACCTCTTCGGATCGAGCAGTGTCAGTGGCCAAAAAGGTAAAAAATGACTAAAAATCTATTGAAAACCATATGAAGGTTTTCAGACATCTCCACCACCACCATTCAAGGAGCAATTTGAGAATGTCTCATGGGACGTTTCGGAATGGTACAAGGGCGAAATCGAGCCCCGACCCACGGAGTTCTGGATTCCGGACTCAGATGTAAGCATTTTCAATTTACGACCGTTTTTATCATTTATCAATTTTTGGATATCACTGTCTAATTGTAAGATTATGAATTCGAGTGAAGGGAAAATTGTAACCTCTAAGTTACCGTAAATGCTTTAATGAAGCCCACCCAAAGTATGTGCACTTTGAGCTCAATTATTTCGGCTGTTGTAAGAGATATCAAAAATGAATCAACTGATGAATTGTCTATCATAATATCGCCAATATTTTATCAATTGACAATATTTTGAAATCTTTGATAGTTACCAAGATAATTGGAGTCAAAGAAAGTAGAAGGTCAACACCGTAAAACATGTCAGATGGGCGCTACACTGTCAAGTTTGAGTTGGGTTATCTCGGTTCTTATAAGAGATATCAAAAATGTGTCTACTGATAAAACATTGTTAATTTTATGATAAACATTTTATCAGTTGACAAATACTTGACATCTCTCATAGGAGCCGAGATAATTGAGCTCAAAATGCACCTATAAGACGTAATGCCCTATTTTGGAGCTATAGCTCAGTTTTAAAGCTATAACTCCGTTCAGAGCTAACCAATTTGCTTGATTTTAAAAAAAATTATATTTATGTAAATGTTATAAACAAAATCTTGTCAAAGTTCAGCAATTTTCCTGGAAGTGATTTTCTCAGCTTCCCGTGAGAGGTATCAAAAAACTGTCAACAGATAAAATGTAGCTGAGATTATAGTGAACATTTTATTTTCTAGAATATTTGCATAGCTCTCATAATAATGGAGATAATTGAGCTCAAATTTTTAAGTCTGAGGGGAGGGGCTTATTTTACAGGTTTCCGCTATCTAAGCTTGTGAAAAAGTGAGCTTCTAAGTTGTGATAGTCATTTCAGGTCCCGTCTACCTCAAACTTCACAGATGCCGACGCAAAGCGAGCCACGGACAGAATCATGATGGAATTCTACGACGAGTGTCGTTGGGCAATGAGACGGAAGCAAAGGAAGATGTTGGAGTGATTTGAAGGTATGTGGCTGGGGATAGGGGGTACTGTAGGGAGGTATAGCTGCAAGGCTACGGTAGGATGATTTATGAGTTGCAGAGCTACTTTCTGAAACATCCCGACTATTTGACAAAATTCTGAATGTGAGATTAGCCAGAAATCAATAATTTTAAATCACTTTTTTCTATATTGACTTTGAGCTCAATTATCTCGGTTCCTTTGAAAGACATCAGAAATTTGTCAACTGGTCAAAGATTGTTAATTTTCTGATAAACAATCTATCAGTTGACAGATTTTTGATATCTTTCACAGGAACCGAGATAATTGAGCTCAAAGCAAAAGCATAAGGTGGGCGTCTATTAAAGAGTTTAGCGTAGTTATTGTGGAATTAAAAAAAAGTGGGACCTGGAAAATTTCGCGGGCGGCTTCCCGGTCAATTTTTGAGGCCTTGCCCCAAAAACACTACGGTAGTAAACGAAACTTATTTCTGTGAATTTAGTAGGATTTTCTGGACAAAATTTACATTTCTTGGTATGAAAATGATCGCTAGCACCTCTAAAATCTGTTTATCATCGAAAAACCGAACTTAACTGCGAAAGCAGCTCGAACGAGGCGAAACTCTGAAATATTACGTTTTTGCCGCACTTTTTCGTAGATCAAAAAAAGCTACGTCTTTCAAATTCTCAGGTCCCACTTCTTTAAATTCGACAATAGGATTAAAGGAAACCCTAGTACATATGATGAAAAAATTTTTCGACTTTAGCTTTTTTGAATTTTCCTAAATTTTTGATTTTTCTACAAAATTCCCCAACCGCCGAAACGTATTTTTGATCTTGATTCCCCTTCAATAGTCCACATGTCTATTCTGCCCAGCCGAAAAGGATTAGGCAGGACACAGTTACGTAATTCACAATATTGCCCTATTGCGGTTAGTAGAAATCATCTAGTTGCGTAATGGGATACGGTAGCATTAGCTAACTGACCAGGTGACTCTGTTTATCGATGCGCAGGTTGCGTAAGACGGCCAGGTGGTGTGTGTAATATGGTTCAGAAAGAAAGAGTGGTGTCTACAGTATCGGTCAATAACTCCAACAAGCCTAACTGCAAAATAAGATTTCCTATCCTCCCACCTCTAAAAATGTCCAGAGAATAGACAACATATCGCACCCCATAAATCTCTTTCCTTGAGAAACATTTCCAGTTTCTTGATTAGCAAAGTACGGTACTCGCTTGTCATTAGTACAGTTTGACTGCCAGAATTAGGAAAATCGAAATGAATCGAAAAAAAAGGGAAAAGGGTGTCAATTTGGGGTACTGTACGCCAAGTGTCGGATCAATTTGAAAATGTTGGATTAAGGACTTGTCATAAACCTTTATATTCCTTTCAAACCCTACAATTCTGTCCAAAAACCAACTTTCTAGCTCATCTGGAACTCGAGATATGGTCATTTGAAGTTTCCGAGGTTAGAGACGCAGCGTGTCTCGTCGTCTGCGTCTCTAGCCTCCTCAATTTGGAGCGGGTCTTTCTCGGTTCTCAGAAACGCTAGAAATGTGATTTTTAGACAGAATTGTAAGAAATTTTTTCTATTTTCAAACACAAAAAGAATTATTTCTCGGTTGCCTTTGTCTTGTATTCGGAAAGGTCGAAAATTTCAAAAATTCGGAAAAACACAGCCAGTTGAATTTTATATTGTTTTGTAGAGCTTTTCAACATTTTCCTAAATAATCTAAAAATCTATTACAAACCCTACAATTCTGTTCAAAAAACCAACTTTCTAGCTCATTTAGAACTCGAGATACGGTCATTTGAAGTTTCCAGAGGTTAGAGACGCAGCGTGTCTCGTCGTCTGCGTCTCTATCCTCCTAAACTTGAAACGGCTCTATCTCGGTTCCTCGAAACGCTAGAAACGTGATTTGTAGACAGAATTGTAGGAAATTTTGTCGATTTTATAATCAAAAAATTTTTTTCAAAAATCGGTGAATAGACGAAAAACTAGGCCAGCAGTTAAGATAAAAAGTATTGGTTTCAGTATACGTATTAAAACTTTTTCAGATCATCTACCTCCATCTCTTGGACTACTGTACCTGTTCGAAGTGTCCCATTTTCATAACATTCTTCCTTTAATTGTCATTTGAATCTTGAGACACTTCCAATGGCTAGGGATGGGTTGTCTTCGAGGAACCGATTGCGGCAAAATTGAGTGAAAGTTGAAACTCCGCCTCTCGGAATCGGTTCCTCCAAGATAAGATCTTCCTCATATGCAATCTGAGGTGTCTCAGAATCCTAACATCATAATTTCCAGTTCTTTCGCCTGGAAAACTGTGTTTTATAAACTTTTTCCCACTCCGATTTCATAACACACACACCGTCTGGATAATTCGCTCATCTTCTAAAAAAATCTTGTCTCAATTTTTCTTTCGAAACTTTTCTTTTGCACCCTTTCCCAACCCAGTTGTCCCTTCTTCTCCCGTCTGCTTTCCACCAGATCCTCCTCTCTGACCAACTGCTCTCAGTTTCCCTGCCCTCCATGTCCCCCCGTTCTTCTTCTTCTTCTTCTTCTTCTCTCGATTGTGTCGCCTCCCCCTTTTTTACCGCCCATCTTCTTGTGTCCAACAATTTTTGCCCTCTTCATTCAGTTCATTTAGCTCACACTATCAATTTGTACCTCCCAGTGAACGGATTTCCCCGAAATTCCCCAAAATTTGTCTTTTTTAAAATCTTATCTACCTGTGTCCAACAACTTTTCCCTTCTTCATTTACTATTAGTACTGCTCACACTATCAGTCTGGACCTCCCAGGGATGGTACTACGGTACTACTTTGATTTAGAGGTCCCAGACCTATCAGAACCAAAAAAAAAGTGTTCTAAAATTGCCTTTAAAGGTGGGGGGACATGAAAAAATAATGTTCTCGAAATTCCGTTCAAAGATGCCCCTCGAAGAGTTGAACATGTGAGGACGATGATTGAGGGTGCGGCGCCGCTACCGACTGAGCCACGCGGACAAAGAGAAAGCGCACGCCCGATTGCATACATAAAGGCGAGGACGACAGCTGTACGCAGAGTGACATTTAGCGTTGTACACCGTCACGGTTGAATGCATACTCTAGCTACAAAAAAACTACGAAAAATCTCCTGTCCCCTCACCTTTAAGGAAAAACAGAACAAGAGCAAAATCGAACTGTGACAAATTCGAACTGTGCAGAATCGAACTGTGCGAAATTCGAACTGTTTCGGAGTCGAACTGTCCCGAATTGGAACGGTCTTAGCCACAGAGCGCGCTTGCATTATTTTTGTTTTCTCTTTTTTCCCGCAAATTTATATTGTTTCCTCAATTAAAAATAAACGTTTTCGATCTAATTTCATACGAAATAATTCTTTTTAGCTTTTTAAAATAGAAACGGTTTTTCAGAAAAATGGCTCCGAGAAGAAACAAGCCGATCATCAAGCTGGAGGGATTTGCGATGCGATTCAAAAAAATGAAAAAAGGCGGAAAAGAACTCTGGTACTGTGTTGAGAGGTAAAAATCTTATATTTATAAAAATAAATTGTTTGTTTCAGAGAGAGACGTGCCAAGTGTGACGCCGTTTACAGCTACGACCCAGCCACCAACACATTCACTGTTGAAAAAGATCACGTCAGACACGATGAGGATTCTGTTAGAAGCGATGTGCGTATCAGCTTGGAGAATCTAATGGAAGCATTCATTGCTATAAAAGTAATTTTCCAGACGTTTCTAGCGCGTCAGGATTTGAAGGAAATGTTTTGATGTCCGATCTTTTGATGAAAGTTAAGGAGGAAGAAGAACACACTCGGATGGACGCAGAAGAATTACGCCTGGACCCCAATTTTCAAGTACGTTGCTACTGACATTTGAAAGTAGCAAACAGATAACTGCCTCCATTTCAGGTCAACAGAAGTAGAAGATTGAGTAATGTCATGAAACACAAGAGACTCATCAAAGTTTTGGAAAACTCACCACTTCCACCGAATGCTCCGCTTACTGGTATACAGCTACTCGACAGCATTTCGATGGCAAATTCGTCATAAAATCCGTGAATTCGTAAACATTTCTTAATAAATTGTCAAAATATTTCCCATTTTCTGATCTATTCTTGTTGTTTTTTTGTTTCTAATAAATTTGCGCTGAGAACGATTTGTATTTTTGAAAAGTTTTCTGGAGAAAAATCGAGAATTTGAAGAAAAATGCAAGCGCGCTCCGTGGCTAAAAGCGTTCCAATTTGGGACAGTTCGACTCCGATACAGTTCGAATTTTGCACTGTTCGAATCCGTAACAGTTCGATTCTGTCCTTGTTCTGTTTTGATACATGTTCGAAAAAGAGACTGTTCTGCATTGAGTCTGTTCGATTTTAGGTCTGTTCGATTTTGAAAACGTTCGAATTTGTCGTACCCCCCCCCCCAAAATGTATGTAGATTGGCATAAAAATAAAAATAAAGAAAAAATTTAAAAAAATTCCTTCATCGAGAAATACACATCGAAAAATACGATGAAAGCCCTTAGGGACGAGGTTTTTTCTAGGCCGCCCGGTGAGTAAAAGCGCGCGAATTCAAACTTTTAACATTTTTTCGCTCGTTTTCACTGTCTTTTTTCGGTTTTTTCAAGAGTTTTCTAGGTTT